CAACTGGACAACCCACCATGGTGGCGAGGCTGCGGGGACTGCTCTCACTGCCGGTGGAGCGCAGAGCTGCACACCCCACAGAGGAGAATCTGTTCACACCTAAGAAAACTATAGACATGTTTGCCTTTCGACCCAGTCAGCCCATTTCTAGGAATTGACCCTGAAGGCACACCACAACAACATACAAATAAATAAGCACATGCAGTTTTTGGCAGCATTATTTGTAATTGCCAAACATAGGATCTACCTAAGTGTCAAAGTGTCTGAGATTGGTTGAATACACTAGGGGACATCTGCATAGCCAGGTCCATGCAGCCCTAAGGATGAATGAGGTAGCTCTCATTGGACAGACAGAAAGGGATTTGCAGGATTTTTTATTAAGTGAAAAAACAAAAGGCAAAGACAACGCACAGTATATTATCTTTCATGTAAGAAACAAGGGAAAGAGGAAAACAGGCCTGTGTCTGACTTTTGCTTCCCCCCCCCCCTTCCAAAAGGAAGCACAGAAAGAATAAACTAGAAATTAATAAAATAGGTCAGCCACAGTCATGGGGAGGGGTACAAAGACAGAAGAAAAGGTTTGTGACAGGGGCTGGGGATGTGGCTCAAGTGGTAGCGTGCTCGCCTGGCATGTGTGCGGCCCGGGTTCGATCCTCAGCACCACATACCAACAAAGATGTTGTGTCCGCCGAGAACTAAAAAAAAATAAATACTCTCTCTCTCTCTCCTCTCTCACTCTCTCTTTAAAAAAAAAAAAAAGGTTTGTGACAATACTATTTCATGCAATCTTCACATTGGGAATTATGCTAATATCCTATATATTAAACTCAACAACGACGTGGGAACTTGAAAATTAAGTTTAAGTGGAAATGCATGAATCCAACCATATTTCAAATGAATAAAATAACCACAATGAAAGGGGGGAAGAAAGCAACCTGAGTAATTTTTGTTTACAGACAGAAAGAACAAGAAGTAAGTCTTGATTTCTTCTTCTTTGGCTTTCTTTTTGTATCAGCATAAAGAGGGTTATTGGAACAATTGACAAATTGGAATACAAAAAAAAAAAAAGAATTGTATCAATGTGACAAATGAAAATAGTGGTTATAATGTTTCAACACTACCAAATTTGCTAACTACACTGTGGTTATGTAAAAGAGCATTCTTGTTCTTAGGAAATATATACCAAAGGATTCCTATGACATTTCTGAATTTGAAATTATTACAAAATACAAAGTAAAAAAAAAAAGAATAACAATAGCTCTCATATAAGGCTGAGGGTGTAGGTCAGTAGTAGAATGCTTGTCTAGCATGTGCAAGACCCTGCCCTTGCACAAGAAGAAGAAGGAGAAGGAGAAGGACAAGGAGAAGGAGAAGGACAAGGAGAAGAATGAGAAGGAGAAGGAGAAGAAGGAGAAAAGAAAGTCTCATGTTCTGGGCACTTTCCATGCTTTGGGCCTGGCTGAGTCTTTTCATCTGTTTCCTCATCAATTCTCCCAACACTCCCAAACAAGAACTTCACTGTACCCGTTTTACTGATGAGGACACTGAGGCTTGGCGAGGTTATATTACTTATCTGAGGTCATGCTGCTGGTTATTTTGTGGGGATAGTTTGACGCTAGCTCTGCCTGACTGTAGAATATTTGGCCCTGACTCTCCCAAATGCTGAATGCTTGAAGAACCAAGGGCTCCAAATCATATCTCCCTAGCCTGTTGTGGGACCTTCTCTTCTCTGTGCCTCAATTTCCTGCCTGTCCCACTGTTGTATGAGATAGGCTGTTGAGGTGACAGCTGTGAGTCAAACAGAAGGAAGCTTCTCGGTGTCTTTCAGAGGTAGTAACTTGCTGGGAGAGGACAGCTGGCAGATCTTTCATGATGGGTGAGTGGGAAGTGGTARGATCCCCCTGCTCCCAAGCAAGTTGGGCTCAACCTCACCTGTGTGTGTATTGTGGGGAGGGACAGGACATGATTGGAAAAGTGATAAGGTCACTGTTGAGCCCGGAGGAGCCAGTTCTCAYTAGAACTCTTGGCCTCCCTCAGCTCCTCTGCCAGAGATGGTGTCTTGGTCATTTTGTCTCTTCCTGCCATCAGAGAAGGGCTGAGATCTCAGCCCACTCCTCAGCAGAATCAAAGAGACTGACAGAGGGGCTGGAGGCTGGATACCTGGGAGCTGGGAGTGGGAGGGGCCGGAGTCCAGCCCAGAGAGGTCCATAAGACCTTGCTGCTGTGAGTCCCTGTTGGCAGAACAGCAAAGGGGAGGTGCCCTGACTGCAACAGGATGGGGCTCTGGCTGCTCTGCAGGGTCTCAGTCAGTCCCAGAGCTCAGCATGAAAGCCACTGCTCTGGTAAGACACCCCTCCACCCCCATCTCCCTGCTGCTTCCTAGTTTTGTTCCYACCTTAAGACTACCTGGCCACTGAATGACCTTAGTTTCCCCTCTACCATGGCAGGAATAGGACATTTGGGTGTGCAGTTGCTCCAGTTCAAGGGCAAATAGAGTCTTCACCAGGCAGGTGCCAGGAGATGGCTGGAAGTGGGTGAGGGAGACCACCAGCAAAGATCCAGGATCRCTGGGCAATTTGAGATGAAAGGGGGCTGCCCCGCTGCCCCGAAGTGGGCTCATACACCAGACTTGCAAACCGCGCCTGTGCCTTGCTCTCCATTCTCTGTGTGTGTGCAGGTGGCACCACGAGGGGGTGCCTAGAAATTAACTCTGGGCATGGCCCCGAGCGGCTGCCCAGCCMAGGAACCCATCTTCAGGTCTGGCAGCACCTCCATTGGTTCATTTCTTCCCCACCCCTTAGGGACCCAACCTGGACCAAAACTAAGGAGATATTTACTGCAGTTTGCAAAAAGGAAGCCAGCCTGTGAGATCAGAGCTGATGACCCTCCTGCTTGAACAGGAACAATGACAAAGAGCACCAACACCATGAAAGGCCATGGTGGACCAAGACAGAARCAAGAGCTCTCTTCATAAGCACAGAGAAACAAGAATCCTAGCAAAACCACACAAACACACATGTACCTGCCTTCCCAGTTAACTGGGGTGACTGCCTCACCTCACTTTCCTGCCCCTTCTGAATCAGGACCATGAAGTTTCCCAGTCATAGGATGGCTCCGATCCTTGCAGATCTCCCAGTAGAGAGAAAATCCCTGCTTCCCTGAACCCTGCAAAATCATCAAAACCTAGACCAACTCCCTTCTAACCCCTCTCTAACCACTTGGGCTGGGAGGCACATGGTCCCAGGGCGTGCTGTCTCCCTTGTTACGCTGTGTCAGTGGCCCCAGCTACTGATCCACACAGGTGTGTCCTCACGAGCTCCACTGGTTTGAAAGATGCTCATAACGACAGAGGAGGCTCTTTTTCTTTTAGGTGTTCTGCACATTGTCACCATCTGTGTTCCAAGGCAAGACTTGAACTCTGGAACCTTGCATGACCACCAACTGCATGACCTTGAGCAAGGGTTTGACCTGATAGTCTCAATGTCCACAGCTGCAAAATGAAACTGGACCTGACTCGCTACCAGTCTAACAAGAGGGTGGAATGAGACACTGGATGTTGAGGGGCCTTGGGAAGTGTCTGGCCCTTGCATAATGTCACTGTGGAATTAATTTTCAACACTTCTGAGAGTGAAAAGGGACACTATCAATCACATTGGGTAACAGGTGTAAATCAGGCCTCTCTTTAGCACAAGGGGAGGAAAGGTGACCTTCTCTTGGAGGAGCTACTAGAAATAAAGGCAGAGACCATGTAGTGCCCAAGGGACATGATTGGTGTATTGGGGTGAATGAGGGACCCTTCAAAATGCAATCCTTTGAGGGGCTGGGACTGTGGCTCAGGGGTAGCACACTTGCCTGGCATGTGTGAGGAACTGGGTTTAATTCTCAGCATATATAAGTAAATAAAATAAAGATCTATCAACAATAAAAAAATATTTTAAAAAAATACAATTCTTGAGGGCTGGGGATGTGGCTCCGTGGTGAAGCGCTTGCCTAGCAAGTGTGAGGTCCAGGGTTCAGTCCCTAACACCACATACACGCAAAAAACACCCAACTGTGGCAAAAAAAAAAAAAAAAAAAAACCAAAAACAAAATGCCTGTGAATGTGACCTTCTGGAAAAGGGTCTTTGCTGATGTGATTAGGATGATATCATCCTGGATTACCCAAGTATGCCCTGAATCTGATGACAAGTGTCCTTGTAGAGACAGAAGCTAGAGCCACAGGGGCACAAGAAGCCGTGTGACCACAGAGGCAGGGTTTTCAGTGTTGCTGCTACAAGCCAAGGAATGCCTAGAGCCACCCGAAACTGGAAGGGGCAAAGGACCCCTCTCCTAGGTCCTTTGGAAGGCGTACAACTTTGTGATTGTTATGGTTTAGATATGAGATGTCCCCCAAAAGCTCACGCACAAAACAGTGCAAGAAGGCTCAGAGGAGAAATGATTGGGTTATAAGAGTCTTAACCCTATTAGTGAATTAATCCCTTGATAGGGATGAACTGAGTGGTAATTGAAGTGGTAGGGTGTGGCTGGAGGAGGTAGGCATTGGAGCGTGGCTATGGCGTATATATTTTGTATCTGGAGTGTGGAGTCTCTCTCTGCTGCCTGATCATCAGGTGAGCTGCTGCCACATTTTTCCGCTGTGTTGTTCTGCCTCACCTGAAGCCCTGGGAAATGGAGCCAGCTGTCTGTGGACTGAGACCTCTGAAACTGTGAGCCTTCAAATAAAATTTTCCTCCTCTACAGTTGTTCTGATTGGGCCCTTTTAGTCAGAGCAGCAAAAAATCTGACGAAAACAGTGGTCGTCTTGATTTTGGACTTCTGGCCTCCAGAACTGTGAAAGGATCCATTTCTGTTGTGTTAATTGCCTAGCTTGTGGTCATTTGCTAAGGCCGTTTGGGAAATGAATACCATGGGCAAGAAAGACTTTAAGGACACCTTCCCAGGAGCTCCATCCAGGCACTCTCTCTGGAACTATGTTGTTCAGCTGTGACAGAAGTTGCCTGATGACCTACTTCCTGGCCCCCTTCATGGGTTGCAGCATGGTGCAGGATGGAGGTAGGTCTCCAGGCCTGTTAGGGTCTGTCTTTGAGCACTAGGCCCCCAGGTCCTGCCCTTGCTCCAGCTGTGAGGAAAGGGCAGCTGTCTAACAGCTGAGTGTCTGGGGATGGCTCTTGTGTGGTGAAGCGAACAGCCTGATTCAATCCAGCTGAGGGAGCATATGGCCAGGCCCTAGCCCAGGATGGGGGCCTCCCTGGGCAGCTGGGTCAGCAGGGCAGAGCAGGAGCCAAAGGTCTGGGGAGCACAGGAAGGTGAGGTCAGAGGCCTGAAACCTCACATTTCATCATTTTAAAGAAATCTAATAAAGGAACTCATGCCTAGGCTGCATCATGCTGCCTTTCCCCTGGGGATGCACAGGGGTGTCTCAAGTTTCTGGTGGAATTTCAAGGATTAGCCCAGTCCCTGGGAACTCCCAGTGATGCTTCCTCTCCTTCCCCATCATCTTGTTGCTTTTTTTTTTTTTAACTGAAGTCTGAAATTCCTCCCTCAATGCTCATGGGATCTGTGATGTCTGTAGTACCTTTCACTATGTAAATTCCTGAGATTGGCCCCTGAGTGCACCTGTGTGATGTCCCTGATGGGGGGAGGGGCAGGGCATACTCCTGGAAGGAAGCAAGAGGCAGGAGGGGAGGAATCCCAAGCTACCTTCCTTTCCTTGTCACATTTCACCTAGGCAGGGCCTGGTAGTCAGAGGCTTCCTCCTTCCTCCACACATTCCCAGCCTTGCCCTTTTAACTGGCTTCCTATTTTTCCCCAAGGTCAAAGTTCTGGAGCTGGTCTACTCTTATATTTTTAATTTTCAGGAAATTCACAGTAGGGAAATTTTTAAAAAGTTTTAAAGTGTACATAGAATGAATCCAGTAGACTCTTTGTAGTGACAGTTTCAGGCTTGTGGAAAATGCTTACAGTCAGGCACACACAAAGCCTAGAACTGATACAGTTCTGTCACTGCCCTCCTTCCCCCCAAATTCCATGTGTTGCTCTTTAGTAGTCAGTGCTTCCCCTAAATCCCTGGCACCAATGATGTGTTCTTTGTCCCTATAGTTTTGCAGTTTTAGAATGTAATATAAGTGGAATTATTTTAATATGTAGGCTTTTGGATATGGCTTCCTTTATTTTGCAAAAACGCACTTGATATTCCTGCATGAATCAAGTGTTGTTTCCTTTTTATTACTTCACAGTATTCCATTGTAGGACATAATCAACCCATTGATTGATTGAAGAATATCTAGGTTGGTTTTAGTTTGAAGAGATTATGAATAGAGTTGCTATGAACATTTTTGAACATAATTATGTTTCCATTTCTCTGGGATAATATCTAGGAATAGAATTGCTGTGTCAAATGATAACTACATACTTAATTCTATAAGAAACTGCTAAAGTTTCCCAGAGGGTCTGTACCACGTTTCATTCCCACCAGTTTGTTTAATTGTTCTAGAAATTTGTTGAAGAGACTGTTCTTTCTCCAGTGCTTTACCTTTGCATCCTTATCAACAATCAATTAAATGTATTAGTGAGGGTCTATTTCTGGATTTCCTATGCTGTTTTGTTAATGTTAGTACCTATTCTTTTGCCAATACCACACTATTGATTAATGCAGCTTAATAGTAAGTCTTAAAATCCAATTTTGTTCTTTTTCAAAGTTGTTTTRGCTGCTCTAATTCCTCTGCCTTTTTATATATATTATATAATCAGCTAGTTTGTATTTACAAAAAAAAAAAATCTTTCTGGCCTGGTGTGGTGGTGCACACCTGTAATCCCAGTGGCTCAGGAGGCTGAGGCAGGAGGATTACAAGTTCAAAGCCTCAGCAATTTATTGAGACCCTAAGCAACTCAGTGAGAACCTGTCTCTAAATAAAATGCAAAATAGGACTGGGGATGTATCCCAGTGGTTGAGTGCTCCTGAGTTCAATCCCCTGTTCCAAAAAAAGCCCAATACAACAACAACAACAAATATTTCTGGAGTACTAAAATTGAGATTGCATTGAATCTATAGATTAATTTGGAGGTAACTGACATTTTCACAATATCAAGCCTTCCTTTTCATGAACATTCTGTGTCTATCCATTTATCTTTTATTTCTTTCAGTACTACCTTATACTCTTCAGCAAACAGAGCTTATACCTCTGATGTTAGATTTATACTTAAGTACTTCATTTTTGGTGATCTTGTAAGTAATACTTTAAAAAGTGAATTCTAATTGTTTGTAGCTGGGATATAGAAACGCAACTTTTTGTATGTTTATCTTATATCCTGCAACCTTGCTAAAGTTACTTTTTGGTTCCTGGAGACTTTTGTAGATGTTTTGGGCTTTTCTACAGAGGTAATCATGTTATCCATGACTAGAGAAAGTTTTATTTTTCTTTGTAGTCTATATATTTTTTATTTCTTTACCTTGCCTTATTGCATTGGGTAGAAGTTCCTGTACAATGTTGAATAGGAGTGGTGAGGGAGGACCATTGACTTATACCTGATCTTAGGGAGAAAGCATTAAACCTCTCATCATTTAGTATGTTGTTATTTGTAGGGTTTTTACAGATGCCATTTATCAAGTTGAGTTAATTTCTTCCATTCCTAGTTTGTTGGGTTGTGTATTTTTTTTTTTTAATCTTGATGGGCTGTTAAATTATGTCAAATGCTTCTTTTTTTCTTTTGGTATCTAATAAAATGGTTATACAGTTTTTCTTTATTATTCTGTCAATATGATGAATTATATTGATTTTCAAATGTCAATCCAGTCTTGACTTCTTGGAATAAGCTTCATTTGATCCTGGTGTATTATCTGTTCTATATATTTCTGGATTCAATTTGCTAATATTTTCTCAAGGATTGCTACATCTACGTTCATGAGGGATGGATATTGAGTTTAAATCCCCTTTTCTTGTAATGTCTTTGTCTGAGCTTTGTCATTAGGATAATGTCGGTCTTATATAATAAATTGGAAAATGCTCCTCTCTCCCATTTTTGGAAGACACTGTGTAGAAATGGTATTATTTCTTTCTTAAATATTTCACAGAATAAGAAGCTCTAGTTATCTTTGTTGGAAGGTACTATGAATACGTTTTTTAAATGGGCACAAGTTTATTCAGGTTATCTCTTTCTTTTTTAGTAAATTTGGTGGTTTGTGTAAGAAATTGGCCATTGTACTTCAATTCCTTTTAATGGCTGTGGAGTCTGTAGTGCTATCCCCTCTTTTATTTCTGATCTTGGTAATTTGTGTCTTCTGTATTTTTTTCTTAGTGTGTCTGACTTGAGGTTTATCACTCCTCCCACCTCCAAAAACCATCTTTTATTTCCATTAATTTTATCCTTGTTTTTCTGTTTTTTAAGATTTAATTGATTTGTTCTTTATCATGTTTCTTCTTCTGTTTTTTTTTTTTTTTTGTATGTGTGTGTGGCGGGGGAGGTTAATTTGATTTTCTTTTACTAAGATGGAAGTTTAGATGACTAAATTTCCTTTTTCTTTTTAATATTTTCTTAGTTGTAGATGCACAATATCTTTATTTATTTTTATGTGGTGCTGAGGATCAAACCCAGTGCCTCACACATGCGAGGCATGCTCTTTACCACTGAGCCCCAGCCCCAGCTCCAACCTCTAACTTTCTTTTTTCTTAATAAAAGCATTTAGGGTTATAAAATTTCCTCAAATCACTTTTGCTGCTGTCTATAAGCTTTGCTATGTTTAGGGAGAAAAATCATTTCAATTGCAATAAAATGTTTAAATAATAGCTAGAGGTAGAAAATTAAAAATAAATAAATAAAAGACTAGACACAGACTAAAAAGTTGCATAGGAAGAGGACCCCACCAGCAGTTGGGAGAGGGCAGGTAAGGAAGGCTTCATAAATGAATTGGGATCTGAAAGAGCTACAGAGATGACAGGGCAGAGGCTGACGGTTGCCTGGTCCATCTCCATTCCTCTCGTCTTCCTAGTAACAGAACCTGAGCACAGTGCTCATTTTTGTTCAGAATTACATTTCTAGCCTCCCTTGCAGTTAGCTATCCCTTAGGGCCTAGCTTCTATCAGTGAGACACAGAAGGGTTAGTGGGGGCTGGGAAGGCTCCCAAAAAGAAGGGACTCACAGGGAGGTGTGCCTTTATTGCTCTTCCCTGCTTCCTTAATTCTGCCTCTCGGTTGACATCTTGGTCTGAGAGGCTGACTTGGGTACGGACTGTGCATACTAAGGATGGCAGAGAAAAAGGCAGAAGGAGCATGGGTCCTTGGAGTCCAGGAGGAGCGTGGAGCTGCATTGCTCACCTCTCGTCTTCCTTTGCCCAGGTAGAATCTACCTTTGGGTGTTTGAGTCACTCTTGATGGGAGAGCAGTGTTTCAGCTATATGTAACTGAAGCTGATCTTGGTAATGATGAAGAGGATTTGGAAGGTAGAGAGGAGGAAAAGGAGCATTTGGCTGAGGGTAAGGGCAATGGCGGGGGAAAGCCAGGAGAAGATAAGGTGCTGCATGACCAACTTGTCTGCTCAGGACATGGGGCAGGGTGGGAGGAAGAGTGGGGGGAACCAGACTACTAGAGCCTTAAAGGAACCCAAATGCCACTAGCTCACTGGCAACATTGAGAAGTTGCTTTCTCTCTCCTGGCCTACTTCCTCATCCGTAGAATCAGGGGATTCACTTGGACCTGACGCTTTTAACCTGAAACTCATGGACACATTTCACTGGCTTCTAAAAGGCATACATTTCGCATCTGTGTGTGCACTTATCTAGAGAGAGGCCTACAATCTTGGTCAGATTCTCTGAGAATCGTGCAGCTCCCAAAGAGTTAAAAATCACCACCCCAGGAGCTTCCAGCACAGAAAATCCTCTCACTGACTTTATTACATGGACTGAAGGGGGCCCTTGGAGTTGCATAGGGTAGGGAAATGAACATGGGAAAATGAAGGTTTTAGGTACTTGGAAAACATTTTTCAATCTGACAACAAATACCTGTAAATGTGTTTTAAAAAGCCAAAATGCACAAAAAAGAAAATTGAAACTTTACCAT